CGAAAAGGATGCGCAGTAATAGAACAATGAAAACTAAATTTGTATGGTTTCGAAAGGCAATGTTTGGAGAATCGAAAAGGGAATAATTGAAGTGTGAGATCACAATGACGCGAAATTATTCAGCGATGAATCGACGACTCTGCCTTGAGAGCACCATCGATGATTCAATCATCGCTTTCCAGAATAATCTAGCACCAAAATAAACATTCCATCTCGGTGTTTCGGAACCAGTTTTTCTGGGAAGGTAAGGAGAACTGTAGAACCTTTCCATCCACCCACCGCCCTTTTGAGTAGGGAAGGAGTGGGACAGGCAAGAGGAACGCTACCACATGCTCGATCCGCCAGCTCGAATGTGTTATCAAAGTTGGATACATGGATCCTATCCGGGAATAAGTCGCACGAAATGAAGAATACTAGAAACTGTCGCGGATCAGTTCTTACCACGTGCAGCCCTTTTTGCACTTGCTGACACACTGGATTTACAATTTATGCTTCACTATTGGCTCACTATCGGCTGACCAGTTACAAACAATGTCGCACTTAAGAACAAAACAAATCTCCGATAAACCAAAAAAAGCAACGCAAGTAGGAGAAAGGGAAGAGAGTGAGCATCCATCACCGAAGGGCAGTGGCCGCCAACACTGCGGGTGCATACAAGGCGATAGAGAACTTCGAATACCAGCTTAGTTGGTGCGCCAGCTTTCCAGAGATCCGACGGAAAATGGTACCTGTCAACTTGTTGCGAAATCACTACAGTACGCTGCGACTCGTCCGCTGATTCCGCCTTCTTGCCGCGCGGCGGACCTCCTGTCGGGTACCCAGTGAACCACACCCAAGGTCTCCCTCGTCTCAGCAGTGTCTTCTTGTGATGGCACAGGTTGTTCTTAAAAATGATGTGGTTGATACCGGACGATAACCCTTCAATAGCCTAAAATGGGTATCCCATGACGTGACCGCCGGTCACAGCAGTACATTGGAGACTACTGGAAGGCAATGAATACGTCGTTTGAAAGGCGGAGCGGTTTTGGTGAAGTCATTGTACGTTGCTGCTCGACCAGACGTGGTTGGGACCAGCTCCCAACGTCCTTCTATTAATGACGCTCAATGGCATCATCAAATTGCTCCACCTTCCAACCACCATGCTCACTGACTTCAATTAATCAGAAGGCATCTGACTTTTCAAGTGGGGTAGCCGCAGTGCTAGGCAGAGTGAGCGACATGTCGACGAAATTTGAGTCCAACGAACACACCCTCATTGCGCTAATACGGTCCCAGTTATGGTCCGACGACTCACCTCTGTCTATAGGTCCTGTGCCGTCCTATGAAAGATCCCCTTCCCGAGTGCCAAATCCTTCCTATCGATGAATTCTCGACGTTGGCTCACACCATGCTAGGCGATGGCAACACAACGAGGTCCAAGAGGGCGAGATTTAATGTTATGCTGAGAAGGTGGCAACCTAACTTTGCTCACTGCATCTTAACGGATCGTGTCGGTTTTGTCGCTGGAATTTTCTCGAATTCCAGGTTCGACGTGTGGCCGTGTGAACTACTACAATAGCTAGTCGATTCTTCGTCAATATAGCACCCCTGTATCTTGCGATAGCGCTTCAATTCCCGGACTGGAAAACGAGAACTCATGAAATTGCTGCGAAATCGGATTCGTTGTTCACAAATGTCAATGTGAAATCGCGAGATACGGCGCTCTATCGACGTCTTGCTGATTAAAGGACGCCTTTGCACTGATGCGCAGGCTACCGTAACAAGAGAATGCAAACTTCATTCCTTTTTCTTTTAGGATTTCCTCTTTTCAAAAGGATTTATTCGATAAACGGTTTTGTTTTTCACGTTTTTATTGCTAAAGAAGATCCTTAAGTAGAACTTGAGTGAGGTTATCGTCGGTAACTCGTGTTTTGTCCCGATTAAATAGCATTGTCTGAGTTAGTTATTAAGCTTACTCATTTCTTTGATTTCTTTCGAAGTTTTCTTCAATCAAGTGAAGATTCATGGCTTGAAGGGTTCTCTGGGACGTGTAGCTCTTGATTGGTTTGCTTTCGCTCTTTGTTTTAGCATACTATGGTAATATTCGAACACATTTGTTTTGGAGGAGTCCTACTTCACTTTTGTCGCTGGTAGAAGCAACTCATTTTATCACAAAAAATTATGTCCATATGAAATATTCGGTTTCTTTCTCATCTAGTTCAATTTCATATGTTGACCAATTCGTGAAGACCCAACTGGAGTTAGGAACGCACGCTTCTTACGCTCCATTCTGAAACGATGTTACGTATTTATCCCACCCTGCGCCCGTGCGATTGCGTACAGCAGGCGATTACAGTACTCTCACGGCTAGTTCCGCTATCGTTGGCACCCTGTTTTCGATTGAATAACTACGGGTAGAACTTGTGATGAGAGGAAATAATAAGACTAGATGACTTATATCTAGTCTAGCAGTTTTTTGCATATATCTTCGAGACGTCAGCAGTGAATATTTGTGGTAGTGGATATAAAAAATTCCTATCTCCTATCCAGCAAAAGTGGAAGCGAACACTGAACATAACATTTAATGCAAAATGATTGGAATCGTGGAGAACAGTTTTCCCATTTATAGCGCAATAGTTAAGCTTTTGCTCACAGCTTACGTAAAGAACTGCTATTATCTTCCAACGCAGAAGCTGTAAAATCCCACACAAGGTTGGCGAATAAAAGCGCCAAGTCATCATGCTCCTCCCCACCCCCTGCTGGTCCCCCTAGTACTAGGCTGTGAGTCTAGGGGGATGTGTAAGCAGTTTTCATTACCCTCAAAGTTCACCCTCTTCTCCAAGGCTCAGTCAGCGTGAGCATGCCCCTTTTGAGTACACTAGCGCCTCAAGAAATTGATTCGCAACGGTAACGCAAACGCTCCTGTAAGCGGATTATCTCCAATGGAACTGAATCACATTTTACGGCACACAGAAAGAATGAACATATCCCGTGCCTATCATCTACAAGTATGCGCTCTCACTTTCAGCACAAGTCATCCTCACAAGGATACCTCCGTATCAGATTTCTATGTCTATGGAAATATCTACAATTGCGAATAAATCAACTACAACTCGAAAACAAGGTGGCCGTGAGACGCAACTACTAAGCAGTTCATGATGAAAACTACCTCACGAATTAGAACTCTCTCTTCCCTCAGGTGCCAAGTAAACTTCGTCCCCTCGAGTCCCTCACTGCACTGGTACAATGCATAATGGCATCAATGATTGTTCTAGTGCGGAACATTATAAATACCCTAGCACATTACCCTATTTTGCATGTTAAGAAGAAAATGACATGAGGAATTAGAGTGGTTTCCAGGCGCGCAATGGTTTTCCAACGATATGTAGAGCATCTCTCGGTACCCGTCACCTATCTGAAAGGAGAAATGCATGGCTCAACTCAGTACAATATTCGGAGCTGTGCTAGTTATGAATTGATTAGTCTTCCCATTTCCTTTCATCACGAGCCCCGCCTGTGATCATCAGTTACAAATGTCAACGCCAGTAGAACTAGGCGTGGGCGTACTGTAATCGCTTGCGGTACGCAATTGCACCGGCGCAGGGTGGGATATATACGTAAACATCGTTTTGTACTCCTTCTGACTAGTAAAGGACGCCATTCGTTACGGGTCCCACTGCCTCCTGCTACAGTGAACCCTTCAATGTGGAGCGGGGAATCCGTGAGCCAGGGGCAGTGTCGCCAGTCTAGGGGGGTGGGGGGTGAGGGCAGACACTTGACATGCGTGAGAAGCTGGAATGTTCGAATTCAACCGCGATCACATGGGATCCCCGCGGGTTAAGGCAGTGGGTCCCGCAACGAATGGCGCCCTATACTAGTCAGTAGGAGTACGAAATGATCACTCCTCGCTATATCGCACCATCACTATCACAAAAAGGGCCAACCTCACAAGTG